GACCAATGTGGGATGTAAAACTGGATGTGAAGTGGATAGAAATTATAGTGGGAAAGGTGACTGGAAAACCATGATTGAAGTTTGCATATGTCAGTGGGATGAGATAGGACTTTACATCAATATTGAGATGAACGATAACTGTTGCAAGGAGTAGTGTGGGTAAAAGAGTTGGTTAGGATGAAAATAATATTGCAGAGTGTGCAGGTAGAAGAGCTGCTAAGTCAGTTCTGTGGTTCTGTAGTTGCCAAGAATAGATCTGAATGATGATTGCAGTTCCCTAACAATGCTGATACCTCTGGTAATATCTGGAATGTGTTGTCCTGGAAGACATTAATTTTTAAGTCACAAACTAGGTTAGATGTTTGTTTCAAAAATGATGTAACTGTAATTTCTAGTTATTGCTAGAAGTGATAGTTAATAAGTTTAATCAGCTGTCGATCATGGTGTTTGTTCATCATGGTCTTTTATATGATATCATTAAAGATTACATTTATAGGATTTATTTTAAGTAGCGAGTAGGTTACAGAAGAGTGAAAATTTGGAGCAAGTAATTCAATCCATATGAAGCAGAAGGATAAACAAATGGAAAAAGCCATGAAATTTTATTTCAAACCCACCATTTTGAAATTCTGGGAGCTAGGTAAGGAGTTATGAGGACCAATAGTATTAATCATTTTTTTTGCCAAAATGTTGACTGTAGTAATGAAAGTTACTGTTCACACACAGTTGTGTGGGATCATTCATACAGAGGAATAATTTTGTACAGGATGAAATAGAGGGCCTCAACAGCTGGTGTAATGGAAACAGAATTTAATAGTTTAAAAAGAAGACTTAAAGAACACCTGTTTGAAGCAGCACAGAAAGAGAGGAAGTGGACAAATTAGGAGATGATGATTGTAAATTTGATACTCATGAACTTGTCAAATGTTGTAGTAGTTATCTCAGGTTATTTTCAAAAGAACTAAGTACATATGTCAGACTTTTTTTTCTTTTATAAGACAAATTGGAACAAACTTTTCCTGCAGTGTAGTCTGTGATTTTATTTGTCAGCATTCAAGAAAAATAAATTCAAATTAGAACAATTGCAGAGTTGACTTAACTGGAGTGATTAGATAAGGGTCAGTTAATTTCATGAGGAGACTGAGAGCTTGGTTTGTTTAGTTCAGCACAGCTATGCTTGGCAAGAGTTCTGTATCTGTTGAAGGAAAGAAAGGTTTTTAAGGTAGAGAGTGATGTTAACCAAGATCAGATGAGCACAGGCTTAAATGGAAATTAGAAGGTTTCAGGAAATTAGTATCTGGAATAGCCTTTAAAGCTAGATGATGCTTTTTGAAAGGGAGCTGGATGTGTTTTTAAGAGAAGTGATGCTGTATATGCTTGCAGTATTGAAGGACTGGGCTCACTGATATGAAGGTTATATTCTATCTTATGCTGTACCACGTTATCTGTTGAAATTATATTGTTTAATGCTTAACTCACGTACTCAAGTAAAGAAATGAGATTTTTTTATTTATTACCATATTTTAAAACATTTTAATAATTAATAATACTAACCTATTTTCTCACTTAACTGTTTAAGAAAACCCAAAATTTTACCGTTTTATTTTTCTTAGAAATAGTATGTCTTCTTCTGGAAGATCTACTGCCATCAGAATTCACCTAGTATTTCAGCAAGATCGGTTTCTCAATGATTAGCCCATTCCTTTTGCCATTTAGTGATTCAATGTTCTCTAAATCTTTGACAGCCAATTTGTATTGCTTCAGTTCTTCACTTCCCTCTTTGTGAATTTTATAGTTGGCATAAGTGACAGCACGTTATTAAACATCCAGATCATACCAGCTTTTCTCTCTAGAAGTGAAGTGTCTGCCTGGGTGCTTTGTTTGAAAATACAGGCATGAAAATGAGCTTGAGTGCCTCATCTGAAAATTTCTTTTTGCTTATGGAAATTTAACTTTGTTCATGGGCATTGGGTTTTTTTTACTGTTTGAGATTTGGAAAGAATCAGTAGCAGAAGAGTGCTCTATTCAGAGGTACAGAAGTGAGTTTTGCCATTTCTGGTATTTTGTACTTGTCTGCTCAAAAGTCAGTAATGAGCAAAGTTACATATTCTGTTTGATGGAAAGTGAAGATTTGAGTGTATGAGTTATTGTCATCTTGGTGACATCTCAAATATTATGAATATCTATCTAGTTACTCAAAATTTCTGAAGGATGAAAAAGTAGAAAGACTTAAAGTAATCACCGAAAAGGCTTTTTGTTTTTGTTGAGACAGTTAATTCTTTTTTCCAAGAATATGAATTTCTGCATTCATTTTTAAGAGGTCTACCATAGATGGTTAACTTAGTTACAGCTTCAGCAGTGGAGCAAAAATGCTATAGCTCCATCATTTCTAGTTTTTTAATGGAGCAGTACTGCATTGTTGAAACAGGTTCTTTCTAAAAATAAGGTCAGATCAAGTGGCTGGTGCAATTGGAGGCCATTGGAAGGGAACACTGATTATGTATGTATATAATTAAGTACCTTTGTTTGTTAGCTGATTGACAGCACTTCAGCTTTACCACATGTTATGTTTTGTTCCTAATCCTCCATATTTTGGACTAAAAAAGTTTGGAATCTTTTTTTCTGAGTTGTTTTTAGTACTTGTGTCATTGAATTCTTTTTGAGGGGGATTTGGAATTGATATCTGGAAGCTGCTCTTGGTGAGGGTTCTGTTTGATCTGCAGTGACTTCAGTTATCAAGAGCATTTTAAACTACAGGTTGTTCAGTCATTTCACTATGTTGTTTTCACAATGGTGGTGGCTGTGTTTTGGAGTTGTCCAAAAGTTTTTGTTCACAGGTAGGTAGTAATGTAAATACTTTAGGCAAATATTCACGATTGTTCATGCATTATTGAAAGTGGTATGTAGTGGGTTGACCCTGGCTGGATGCCAAGTACCTGTTAAAGCCACTCTCTCACTCTCCCTCTGCAACTGGACAGAGGAGAGAAAAAAATACAGCTAAGGATTCATGAGTTGAGATAAGAGCTGGGAGAGGTCAGTGACTGATTACCTTCACAGGCAAAACAGACTCATAGTGGGGATATTATTTAAATTTATTACTAACAGGATAGGAGCCAAAGAGTTAGGAAAAAAAAATCTTAACAACACCTTCCTCTCACCCCTCCTTCCTTCCATGTTCTCCCTCCTCCCCCCCAGTGGTGCAGGGGGACAGGGAATGGGGGTTATGGTCAGTTGTTGTTTCTGCTGCTGCTCAGAGAGAGGAGTCTTTCCCCTGCTCCTGTGGGGTCCCTCCTATGGGAGACAGTCCTTGATGGACCTCTCCAGCATAAGTCTGTCCCACGGGCAACAGCTCTTCCCAAACTGCTGTCCCATGGGTCATTCCTCCATGGGATGCAGTCCTTCATGAATGAACTGTACCGATGTGGGTCCCCCACAGGGGCCACAAGTCCTACCCAGGAAAAACCTGCTCCAGCGTGGGCTTCCCTTTCCATGGCCTGCAGGTCTCCGACAGGACCCTGCTCCATCTTGGGCCTCCCATGGGTTCACAGCCTCCTTCACACATCTACCTGCTCCAGCAAGGGCTCCTCCATGGGCTGCAGGTGGGTCTCTGCACCCCGATGGTCCTCCATGGGCTGCAGGGGCACAGCTGCCCCACCATGGCCTGCACCACGGGCTGCAGGGCCTCAGCTCTGGTGCCTGGAGCACCTCCTGCCCCTCCTGCACTGACCTTGGTGTCTGCCTTGTTCCCATGTTCTCACTCCACTCTTCCCTGGCTGGAATTCTTTCTGTGCCACAACCTTCTGTTCTTAAATATGTTATCACAGAGGTGTTACTATTGCTCCTGATTGGCTTGGCCTTGGCCAGCGGCAGCAAGTCCATCCTGGAGTCGGCTGGCATTGACTCTGCCGGACAGGGGAAGCTTCTAGCAGCTTCTAACAGAAGCCAACCCTGTAGTCCCCCCTCCGCTACCAAAACCCAGCCACAGAAACCCACTACATGGTATTAGTTAAAATTTGGCAGTGTGTAGGAAGATTTGAAGATAAAAATTATATGCTGCCATTTAAATTTCATAATTTTGTCTGGTCTTCTGTGATCACATACTCTTTGTGAAGGAGAAGAGAGGGATGTGCTTACACAATATTCCTCCTATTTAATGATTTATTTTCATATATTATGTTTCATATAATAATATGCATTTCAAGAGACTGATGGATAGTACAGAATCATAGAATGATTTGGGTGGGAAGGGATCATCAGCTAGATGATCTAGTTCCAACCCCCCTGCCATAGGCAGGGAAACCTTCCACTAGACCAGGTTGCTCAAAGATCCATCCAGCCTGGCCTTTAACACTTCCAATGATGGAACACCCACAACTTCTCTAGGCAACCTGTTCCAGGGTCTCACTACCCCTATTGTAAAAAAAAAATAAAAATTTCTCACTCATGTCCAATACAAATCTTCCCCATTTCTGTTTAAAACAGTTGTCCCTTGTCCTGTCACTACAGTACTATTTATATATAGAAAGGCTGCACTAAGATCTCCCCAGTCCTTCTCTTCTCCAGGCTGCACAACCTCAGTTCTCACTGAGAGGTGCTCCAGCCCTCTGATGATCTTCATGGTCCTCCTTTGGACCCACTCCAGCAGGTTCATGTCCTTCTTGTGCTGGGGGCCCCAGAGCTGAATGCACTAGTTCAGGTCGGGTCTCATGAGAGCTGAGTAGAGGGGCAGACTCACATCCCTTGATCTGCTGCCCATGCTGCTTTAGATGCAGCCAAGGATTGCATTTCTGGGCTGCAGATGCACACCGCTGGCTCATATCCAGTTTTTCATCCAGTGATGTCCCCAAGTCCTCAATTCCTTCATGCCACAGTCTGTATTGATACTGGAGATTGCTCCAACCCAGGTGCAGGACTCTGGGTTTTCACATAAGCAATACACATTCTGTTTAAGTAAATAAAATCTTTAATCTGATTTGCGCTGAAAAATCCACAAAATTATTGATATTTTTGTTTCAATAGTCTGAAAATTCACTTTAATCTCTTGTTTCCATAGGAAACATCTGTCGCTCTCCAATAGCTGAAGCAGTTTTTAGAAAACTTGTAACTGATGAAAAAGTTGAACATAAGGTAAGCTATTTCTTCCTGCCTAAGAAATTACTGTCTTGTAGCCAGTTAGAACTGTAAGCAGTGAGAAAGGAAACTTAAAAATATAAATTTGTTTTTCTGTAGTGGAGGATAGACAGTGCAGCAACATCTACCTATGAAATAGGAAGCCCTCCTGACTATCGAGGACAGAATTGCATGAAGAAGCATGGCATTCCCATGAATCATATTGCCAGGCAGGTACTGTACTTTAATTTTCTTTAAATATGTGTATGTATTTGTTTTGTTGTTACAGTGGAGGACAGACAGTGCTGCTGTTTCAGACTGGAACGTGGGGCGCTCCCCAGATTCAAGGGCTTTAAGCTGTCTAAGAAATCATGGCATTGAGACAGCCCATAAAGCACGGCAGGTAGAAGAGAGTATATTTTCTTTTTTATTCATACCCATGCTTTGTTTAGCCCTAACCATTGCAATCACGGAAGTCATTTGACCAATGCATGGTTAAGCATCAAGTAATAAATACTATATGTAGTTTTTCAAAGGACTTCAAAGTGGCCTTATTTTTCTAGTTGAGCTTAATGAGTTTCTTGTTACCAAGCTTCATTGGAGGTATAACTAGGAAGCATTGGAGCAGTTTGTGCATTATGGAAAAATCTTGCCTTTAAATGTTTAGTTTTTTGGGCATTTTTTAAATACTTTTTAAAAATGGATTTACTCTAGTAATCTGTGATGCATCCTTCAGCAAAAAATTGCATATTTATTTAACAAGTCCAAAAAGAAGTAGAATACCTGTTCATCTGTCACAAAAAGCTTCTGCTCTTGCATGAAGATCTTTTAAAAATATTTAGAGTGCTAAATTAGAATGAAAGCACTCAAACCCAAGATTAGTAGCACAGTTGGTGGTAACTTCAGAGGAAAACATACCCTTGAAGCATTCTTAAGGATAAGACAGGTTTGTCACTTAGTGAAATCCTCTAAGTTTTAACCAAAACTCGTATCTGTTTTCAATAACAAAAGAACATGTATTTCCATGCTGCATTCCAGACAGATTGGAAGTAAATGTGTCTGCATCTATTTAAATAATTCAGACACTCAAATAAATGCACATAATTTACCTCAGTTAACTATTCTCTGGATATAAGATATTCCTTTAGGGCTTGACCTTTACTTAGTTTGAGTTTATGCCACTAGTTCTTGTACTGACAAAAAGATCAAGTCGTCTTGGTATTATCTTACATTTCTGTTCCCTTCAGAATTTTACTAGACCATACTGAGGTCATATTTACTTTCTTCACTTTCAAAGACGACATGTTTAGTTTTTTGACTTTTTAAAATAAATTCTCTCAATTAGTCAATTGCCCTCTACTGACCTCTCCTGATGTTAATCTCCCTTTATATAATAAACAGAATTAAGCACAGCAACATTTCAGATTTTTCATTATTTTACTATTAGAATAATTACTAAAAAAAGTCTGTTGTAATCTTTTCCTGTTACAAGTTCTGGATTTACTATTTATCAGTGCTTGAAAACATCATTATTTGGCAATATACAAGCTAAATGGTACTGAAACTATTCAGCCAGTGTTTCAGTCACAGCAGTGTAACATGTTTGTCTTCTTAGAAGATATACCTTGGAAACTTAAGAACTGTTCTTGGATATTCCTAGAGTAGTTTGTGAGCAGTTAAACTAAAGCAAAGGACCCAAAATGAGTTGATCCTCTGCCTTGAAACGAATCTCTATATCCTCCTTTGGCAGAGAGGGAATGGAAACACTTTAATGAAGACATTTGCTTATACATTCTGGCAAATGAAGAGATTCTTAAAGCAGAAGACCCTAAAATGTTACATATACAGGGAGAGAAAATTAACAAGAATGAGACAATAAAATGAAAGACTAACAGGATGAAAATTTGTCTAAAACATCCCAGTACAAGCAGTTTCTTTTATAAATTTAAAGAAAATCTTCAAATCCCTGAGCTGCAGGTAACTGTTCATTTTGCAGTGATGTTAACTATGTAACTCCAGTTTACTTTTTTTTCCAAACTTCTGTCAAATGGTCTCTGTTGATTCTCTAAACTGCAGACCTGTTATGGTCTTGTCATACTTCTGAAGAGAGAGGGACTCAAGAGTGTAAAATAGGACTTTTCAGAGTGGTCAGATAAATACAAGTGGAACTGTGTTTGTTTTAGAGACAAACTCAAGGATAGAATTTTGTGTGAGACTTGTTTCAGAACAGATTAAAGAAAATTTAATACAGAAGCTGCAGAAATAGAGAGCAGGGATTTACCTTTGTTGCCTTTGAAATACTGTCTTAAGATAAGTACCTCATACAATTATCCTCTTCACTCCTGTGGAATACTGGTACCCTCCCAGTGAAAGTCACTTTCTTTCATGTAATTTTGTGCATAATTATGATAATCATGGATTTTACCTTTTTTTAGTTCAAAACTACAAGAGTGATTTATGTAAAAGGGAATGTTAAGTCGGTTGCATCCTACCATCATATGCAGTGATCTTTTAAGTGAAAGGTGAAGTATAAAAATAAATGTATATACAAAATAAAGAGTTGTTAACATTTGAGCCGATGGTGGGCTGCTGTGTGTTTATGTACCCACTGTAGTTCTCTGAGCTCTTAGTCTTCATGCACAAACCAGATAAGTTTTAATCAGTTTCACTTTTATTCATGCTGAGGCCAAAATTGATTTTCCTATGACTCATACCGTGCATTTGCCTTAAATATGAAATTGAGATTAGAAGCAGGTTGTATTAAACACTGTTTCACAACTGGATAAATTTGAGGATTATTGCTTCTCTTGGGGTTTTAGACAGAGAAAATGAGATTTTTCCTTCTGTAAATAAAGGGAAATGTTTAACAAATAAATTAACAATGGTTATATGCATTTTTTTAATGCAAGGTTATTGTTGTCTGCGTAGTTCCATCCAAAGTTGAACTTGAGCTCTCCACTACTCTTCTCAAAATGTACATAAATTTTTATGTCCTCAGTTCCCCCAAAATACTAGTTTTCATAGTTTTGAGGAATATCTTCAGTTCCCTGGAGTTTGCTCAATTAGGCTTTTTGTATCTGATGCTGCTGTAGGGCTTAAGAGCAGAAGCCAAATGGTAATCTTGGTTTTAGGGCTGCATTTGCATCTGTGTTAGTGCTGGTCATAGGATAATAACTGTAACATTGTCAAGTGGGAAGTGTGGCAGGTGTGTTTTTCCTTTTTTTCTTAATTTTTCTTCTTACATATGTCTGTATAACAAAGAAATCTGTGCCCTCATATTTTCATAGGGGCCTGTATTTAGCTGTGTAGAGCAATCAGAAGCAGCTTGTAGAGGTACTGCTTAGATTTGCCAGGAAAACAAAGCTATTTCCACTGCAAAAATATTTTCATAGGTCAGAGGCACTGCATGAATACAGCAAATATTTTTACAGTGAAAATAAACAAGTCTGTTAGTTTTTACCATTAACCCTTTCTTTTCTCATACTTCCCCGACACACCTCACCCCTTCAATTCTCTTTGTGTGGAATGTTTCATTTATGGCTTTATTCTGGTGATAATTTCTGTCTGTCTTTTCTTACTCCCTGTTATGGGAGCTTAATCAGTATCTATTTGCTGTTTGCACAAAATGGATGTTTTGCCATCGAAATCTTTTTTTAGTATGTAAGTAATTTTTACAAGTTAAACCTCTGACTTACAGTATGATGTTTTGTCTTTTTGTCTGTTTACTTGCTTACTCACCTCTCTAGCCCATCCTTCCCAGAGATGCCTGCCAGAAAAACCTGTTCTGAACAAACTTTCCAAGTTTATTGGTTATGATACTTCACATAGGACACATAGGCCACTGTGTGAAATGCAGTCTTAATGTGAACTCATTATAGATTTTATTCTTTTTATTCATCCTCATTATGGACACTTGGTTCAAAACCCTATACTAGCATTGTGGGCATGGGCTGGGAACATTTTAGCCTAAGCTAAGGCTTAAATGTAAACTGAAATACAATGACAGGTAAATATCTGCAGCTGTCTTTATAACAGGAGAGATGACATTAGTACTTAAGTTAGTGGTTTATCTGCTGTTTGCCTATCTGCCTCTGAGCTCAGATCTCTGAATTTAGTTAATATTCATGTTTAGGGGTCAGTAAACTACAGGAAAGAAAAAGAACAGGTTGTATTATGGTAGGAAGATTACAATAGATTTTTTTCACATCATACTGTAAATTTTGTGAATTTACATGGCCTAAAATATTGTGGATGCATTTGTTTTTAAGAGATTGTAACTCATACCATCATACTTCAGCTTTGAATTTCACCTGGTAACTTTTCCTGTGCAGTGGCAAATTTCTAGACTGGAAGTATTGCAAGTGATTCCAGGTTACCTACATTTTTGTTGTTCTATCCAGAAAGTAATTTTTCTATTTTATTTTTAACCATTTTTATTGCATAGTTTCCACATTTGGAAATCTGCTTTAGTTTTAGTAGTTGAAAAGTACTAGAAATGTCACTTGTAATGATGTCTAAGTTGCTGCATGAAATATAAAAAAATAAAGAAAAAAAAGGAAAGATTGGTTGAATAGCTGACTTGGAGTTTTTTATGGAATTCTTGCAGAAATGGATAAATAATCATGGTAAAGTATATTTAAAATGCCACAACTTATTGTAAAAATTTATGAAGATGCAGTTTTATTCTTTCCACCTGTGTCTTTTTTAGTAAATCAGAGATACAGAATTTGAAAATACTTTTTTTCCTCTTCTTATAAATCAAATGAAGCTTGTAGGCTAAAGCATCTGTTTTTAATTCTAGGTTATTAAAGAGGATTTCCAGACCTTTGATTATATACTTTGCATGGATGAGAACAATCTAAGGTAATGTATGAAGAAATGGAACAAATTCATGTGGATTACTTATAGTGATGTCTCATAAGTCACTTTGAAGACAGATGTCACATTTTACTGCTTAGCTTGTCTTGGTGTTCTTTTGTTTTGGGGTTTTTTTTCAAACGTGTATGTGAATGATATCCTATTAGGATAGATTCTTCACTTCTAATAAGTTTAATGAGCTAGAAGTCAATGGTTTATTTGTGTGATATGTACCAATCAAGGATTAAGGATGGAAATTTAGGTACTTTGTGCTATATACAGCTGATGCCTGTATAGTTAAGAATGAGGGTGTACTTAATGTCTTGATTGAAGTGATCTGTTTTTCTAATTGCATGGTACTTAACAGACAAACTGTGGCAACTTGGAAAGGATTAAATATGGTAACGGTTTTTTTACTTTTTTTATAGAAATAGAATGAGCTCTGAAATAAGCAGAGTTGTTAGCTGGGGGAAGTCTTGTTTTATTGTTAGCTGTGTTCTAATTAAGTGCTCTTTAGAAAGATTTGGTGAAGTAGCTGCCTAGTGTAAAAACTGGGTATCACTAACAAAATTTCTACTCAAGTATATACATATGAGTACTAAGGAGCTGAGCTTTCAAAGTGCTTGTAAGAGCTATTGTAAAGTTAGTTTAAAAAAGCCGAAACCACCACAACCAACAACAAAACGAAACCCAAATGAAACCCTGTTAGTAGAACATAAAGACTTCTAGAAGCAGCACCACTTCACTAAGTATGATTTTGTTGAATTTTCTAGAGTATGCTGAATGACCTCTCTTCCAGAGTCTGCATGAACAAAGGGTATACAACACTTGACTTGATTGCAGTGTCTCAGGCAATGACGTGACTAGGCTTACTTCTATTTTCACTTGAATTCCTAAACAGAAACTTCAATTAACAATTTATATGATATGAACTATAGAGCAGAAGAAATGTCAGAACTACAACTGGGATATTGCTACTGCTACACTACAGTTTCACCTTAAACTTGCACTGAGTTCAGCCATTTGTAGCACTGGGAGGGCAAGCTGATTACAGGTGTTGATGGAATGCCTCATGTCAGAAAAGGAAGATTTGGGACATCCCTTTTCTTTAGCACCAGAGCCATCTGGCCCTCTCCTGTTCACAAAGTGGTCTGTCAGAAGCCTTTAAGAAAATGGTTTGATGTTTTTTCCAATAATAAAAGGCTAGAGAATTTATTGAAAATCTGTAAATTCAAGCAATACCTTCTTGGTTTAAAGAGGAGCCCTGATTTTTCTTCAAGCAAAACCAGTATTGTGGTCTCATTGCTATTTCTAAACTATTTGAAATTAATTTATCAGAATGAGTAATTAGAAATTTAATTTCTGAACACTGATATGCTTATGACTAAGTATTCACAGGGGCTTTTTTGCCTTTTTTAATGTTAAGTAAAATGATGATTTGGTATGGAAATGTGTAATTAAAAGAATTTAGTATGTTCTGGCAGTTCATTGTGAAAATCATAGTACTGAGCTGCCTTTATTCTGGAGATGATGAGAGGTGCATTTTAACTGCCTTTGGGATCATAGATGGCCATTTGTAAGTAGATGGGGAAAATGCCATCTCAAAACCAGAATGTTTTATCAATGAGAGGTGATGTAGAAAGAAAAGGATGTGACAACTGATAAAATGTTACAGTATATCAAAAGGAAAACAGATGTAGATCAGTCATTTACCATTTTCTGTTAACTGACTGTAGTAGGACTTCACATGAGTTAGAGGTAGTATTGATAGAACTTGCAGTACACCAATTTAATCTGGCTTTGAACAGGTAAGAGATGCTTACTCATACTTCTGGAGAAATATCTGAATAATTTCCATTGGTTTTTGTTCAACACAAGCTAAGGGTAGATATTGACAGTACTAATAATTGATTTGAGGAAGAAGTTGCTGAACTTACTGTTACAAAATTTTGTTAAGCTACAGGTTGAGTGCCTGACTGTTTATGCTCTGAATTAGGTTTATGTGTATGTCTTCCATACTCAATTAAACCAGACCCCACACAACAGGAAAGAAACAAAACCAAGCAGCAGTGTAGGGTCCACAGGATTGAGTCCAGACGTGAGTTATTTTCCTGTGTTGTCTAGAAATGGTCGTGAACATCTTGTGTTGATGCCAAAATTCTGGCAAAAAATTCAGGGGAAAATTTTATGTTCTCTTTTACAGAGATCTGAACAGGAAAAGCAACCAAGTTAAAGACTGCAAGGCCAAAATTGAGCTACTTGGAAGTTATGATCCACAGAAACAGCTTATTATTGAAGATCCGTACTATGTATGTGTAAGAAATTCTTTGGGTGGCTTGATTAAAAATTGTGTCTGTGTAGTATATAATCTTTCCAGATCCCACAGTTGGCATGTGACATACAATGTAAAGTTATACAAAGCCAAGTGTAAACATATTTTTTTTTAATGACAAGGAAAGAATATAAATTACTGGATTAGGAAAGGATAACATGTCTTTATGCTTGCATTTATTTACATTTAAATGCAGTGCACCTATATTTTTAATACTGGTGAAGGCCTGATTGATCAGCCTCCTTGCAGAGGATGTAATGAGGAAAGATAGAGACAAAGGCATGGACACAGGTAGTCAGAGAAGTTGAATAATACAAGCCAAGAGCAAACAATTAGATTAATATTCTTCAGTTTAGCAAACAGAGGTGGATAAAGATGCAGTAGGGTTCTATAAAATCTTGATGTAATGGGAAAAACTAAATAAGGAATTGCTCTTCATTACCCAGAAAGTAGAGAATATGAAATGGTTTTAATGGGGGAAGCAGATTCAAAACAAAAAGAGTTTTGTTTTGTTTTCCTTTGTTGCACAGTGCTTCATTAAACTGTGAAACTCAACTGGAAAGGTTAGTGGGAATGTAAAGAAAAAGGGAAAAAATTTATAAGGGCTAAAAAAGTGAATAGAAGAAAAATGTGTGAAGAAAATATGTGAAGGAAAGTCATCTGGGACTGTTGAATACAAAGTCACAGTGTTTGTGGAAATCCTTGAGATCAAATTAGAGAGAAATATGCAAAAACTATCACCATGTATTTGCACCATTTTTATTCTTTCCTTGTGTCTGTTATTTGGTATTAATGACAATGGAGAAACCAGTATGCAATTTTTATTTTTTTTTAGTTAGTACTGTTATTCTTACAGTCTTTTTCCTCTCTTCTTTTCCAGGGGAATGAAAAGGACTTTGAAACTGTTTACGAGCAGTGTCTTAGATGTTGTAAAGCATTTTTGGAGAAACCTCATTAATGCTTCATCATTTAATTTCTAAAAGAAAATAATTAGCTTTTCCTCAAATATGTAAAGTTTACTTGATTGATACATTTAAATTGTAAAATTATGCCTCTGTGTTCAATACTTATTCAGTTGAATTTTGTATTTTAGCTTTTCTGTCATCTAATGAAAAAATATAGAAAGGTTTTAATTGGATTACACGATCAACCATTTTGTCACTCATCAGTGTAGTAATAAAGTATATAATTCAGGATTAATTTATCTGTAAACTCTTCAGTGCTTTCTCACAAGCACTGCAAAAGTAACATCTTGCTTCTTTATGTGCTGTATTAACTAAACTGAGGTCTTGTCATTGTGTCCTTAGTGAGTTAACTTCAGTCAGCTTTCAGTGGGAATCTGAGATAATGGTTGATGTGTAACTGGGATGTGTCAGTATCATGAGGCAGCCTTTGAATGGAAGGTGTTCCTGTTTCACAGGAAGCCTTCTAGACTCAAAGAACTGCTGCCTGACAGACATTGCTCTTAGCACTATTTGAAAGCTTAAGCAAGCAAAACCTCCTTGTGTGTCATCAGGATCCAGTGAAAATAGCTTTTTCTGTCAGTTTAAATCCTTAGGTAGTCAAAGAAGAAATAATTTTTGTTCCAGTTCACTTTTATACTATTGAAGATGAACAAAGTTCAGAAACTGATTAGGACTTCTGGTCTTCCTTTGGTCTTCTGGGTGATTCGTAGCACACTGACACAAGCACATGAAACATAGCATTTACTTTGATGACAAAAAAAATAAAAGCTGAAATGTGAAATCACATTTTGTATCTTATAGTAGTAAAATACTCAAATCCATGCAATATAATAGATGAGAAACTTGCTATAATTCCAGTTCCTACATGAGGGTCAGACAGTATTTACAGATTTACTCAGGAGAATGGACAGCCTGTCAGAAGTGTTCTCTGAGAGCATAGTTCAACCCAAACGGAGTTCATCTGTACTGTAGTACAAAGTAAACCAAAGGCCAGTAAGTAGATAGTTCTGCTCTTGGACAAAATGCTTTGTAAAAATCTGTACCTGCTTGTCTGAACATCACCTTTCTTGTCTGCCTTAGAAATGTAAATGCACTGAGATCAGTAATGTAACTGGTACCATGATGATTTTTCCTATTTTGACTAGTATCAGCATTGGTATGGACTAGCATTACCACATTATCTGTAAAACTGGATCTATAAAATTTGGTTTCATATTTATTTAGCCTTTTTTTGTGTCTCTTCCTGCCTTCCAAAGTAGTAGTCTCTGTATTTGTAGCCTACTTTATCTTCTGGGGGAGAGATGTATTTCAATAGAGGATACTGTTACTCCTGGGGAAGTTGGAATCCTGGTGTCACTCTGTGTGTGTTGAAGCCTTCACCATAGGAATTAAATTTCTTGGGACTTTTGCTGTAGAACAGCTATTTTGTGTTACGGAGGTTTCTGTTTTGTGCTAAAATTTCAGTCACACCTATAACTTAAAAACCTGCTTACAAAAAGGCAGGTGGTACAGGGAACGCTTAAACACAGAAATCAGAATCTTTGTGCATTATTGCATTACCAGTAGTTTTGACTTCTAAAAAACAAGCTAGAAATTTGCAAGTTAATAGCTGTTTCACTTCAGGGACAAAGAATAATACAATATTTCAGGTCCGACTAAGCACTGACTCTGGAAAAATTATTGTCCTTTGCTTTTATGCATGCTTTTACAAAGTAAATGGGGAAAAATGATGGGCAGTAGGGACAAACCCTCTTAAATGTGGTTTTATGCATTAACCTCAAAGGTGGAAGTGTTTAGGCATAATCTAATATTATTCTCTGCCTGAATGACCATTTCAAAGATTCCAGTGAAATTAAAATAACTCACAAGATTTAGAACATGATGACTTGTACTTTCCCATTCATGGTTGTGTAGGAATTCAACAGTTTCCTACATACTAAAGCTAAGATTTAAAGGTCTTAAATCTTTATCTTTGAGCTGCTGGGGTAACAGAAAGGACATAAAAGGATATGGTTGTTTACCTTTACTAGGCTTAGCAATCTTCCTGTAAAGTGATACAAACTATTTGTGTTAAATTCAGTTCAGATTTAAAAGTTTCAGCCTTGAGATACATATTCAGCAAGTAATCTGTTGGCTACATAATTCACTAAGTGTACTAGGAGGAGTAAGGTGATAGATTGATTTTTATCATTAGTAGTTTTTTTTTCTGGAAGAAGGGAAGGAGATGACCATGGTATTATATACAAATTTGTAGAAGCCAAGAATAGAGAACTGGAATTGCCTTCAGGAGGGACAGTTGCATGGTACTGTTTGATCAATGGAACCACAGTGAAGCACAGAGTTCCACCGACACGTTTACTGCAGGTGAGCAGCTGAGTGAATCCTGTAGAAGTAGATTCCTTAAACTACCATGTTTCCTGTAGCCATATATTGCATCCATTGAGAGATGAAACTTTAACATTTAGTGTTCACTGAAAGCAAATAAAAACTTGTAATTCTCTCCTGCTAAACACAGCCACGTTCTTGCATGGGATTTTGTACTTCTTCCATTTTCTCTTTTCTTCTAAAGAGCTGGATGCTGAAGGCTCTTAAGTGTCCATTTCAAGAATCTCAGCTCCTAGAGTTTTCAGGGTGGGGAGGGATGTTAGTTTCGGTTTTACATTTTGTGGATCAAATTGAGGATAGAAAGAAAACTAAATGCCAGTATAAGTTAAAAGTACATGTGGTTCATCTACAGATTGCACATAAAAAATTTCTTCCTGTTTGAGCCATTTTATTTTGTCAACTGAATTTAATATCTGATTTAAGGAAGAAAGGGAAATGTGTATCAAGGTTTCTCAAGTTCACTGACTTCTTAAAAATTCTACAATAGTAAAATGATTTACTGGACATTTGCTGATTATATTGCCTTGCAGTATCATGAATAGATTGCAGATTATTAAAAAAACCCCAACAACAATAACAAAACCCACAAAAACAAACAAAACCCCAAAACCAAACATGAACAAAAAGCCCCTCCCCCAAACCAAACCCGAAACAAACAAAAAATCCTAAAACAACTGTTATTCATAAAAAACATTCCGTCTTATAATGCTGGAGAGAATTGGAGCAGCCTTGTGGGCTTGGAAGACACACAGAGAGTGTCCAGATTACTGAACTTCTCTGAGGTGGATATAACTTTCCTTCTTACACTAGTGAGCTCTTACTGGAAAGAGGTTTAAGTGTGAATAAATGACAGTAGCTACCAGAGGGTAGCTTGTTTACCTGGATTCAATGAACAGAAAGCAAATTGAGAACAACTTAATACCAAACACTTTATTACTTACGCTTGTTATTTACAGTATTTACATATTGCACGTTCGCTGGAATGTTTTATACATTTATTATATAAAGTAAATTAATGGCAGCTTGTGTTTGTGTACAAAATCCATGCTCCACTGTCCCAAAAAGTATGTCTACTTGGAATTACGTTCCTGTTTGTCATGCAGTTTGTACTCCCAGGGTACAATGTGACCCCAATGCAAGTCTGTTTTAACCAAACTTTTAAAAAAATTGCATAAGCATGAAGGGTGTCAAGTGACCACAACTACCGTGGAGCAGATCTTTAGTAGTTCTAGATATACAAACAAACATTCCTTAAAATTTTAGAATTAAGCAATAGAACATCAATTTTCTTGGTGAAATATTTGTGTTTACATAATTTTTGGCAGCATTACACATCAATTGTAAAGTGTGTTTTTAAGTACAGAGCATTAAGTACTACTGGCAGTTATGCTACTGTAAAGAATGTCAATCTGCAAACTTGATGGCATACAAAATGCATGTTAAAAGAATTATGGGAAGTAGTCTGTCAATCTGCAAAAATAAATCTCTTGTTCACAATGGAATTTGCTAAAAGGTAGTAAGTTCTATTTCCCTGTTGGTTTCCAAGGCACTTCTCTTGGTTCTTGGTGTTTCTTGTCATGGTAATAACATCTGGTGGATTAAAAGAAAGAAGAAAATTGCCTTTCACTATTTTTATATTCACATAGATGTGTTTCAAAATGTGTTTATCATGCTGAAAATAATAAATAAAACTGGAGAATTCCATAATAACTTTTGAAAGATCCAGTAGCACATTTCTGATTTAGCTCAGTTTGTATCAGCCTGACTGTTAAATTAATGGTTTGTTAATCAAGGCGGAAATTTTGGAAAGTGTCCCTTTTTGTGGTGTTTCATTTTAGGTAGGCAGATCAGGAAAATCTAGTTCTACCTTTCAAAAAGTGCTCATAGTTAAGTCTGGCCTGTTCTAATGACTGCAGCTGTGAAGTCAAAAATTGAATAAACCTCAGGAATAGCATTAACACATTGCAAAATTCTGTCTGGATGCCTTGGTGTCAGTCAGTTGTTGCTAGGATCTCAGAAGGATTTGATGTATCATCGGGCCCATTTGTGAAGAAACTTGGAATCATATAAACAAGAAACAGATAGAAGTAACTTTCCGAGATTTGGTCATATAAATATAGCTCCTGGAACATGCAAACACTGAGGCAGCACAAACTGAGCAGGAGCTGCACTGGTTCAATTTGCTGGTGGTTCTGGTAACTCTTCCCAGAACAGTTTCTTGGAATGAAATCAAAACCATTTCTATGATACTGATATCAAAATCACTGATACAAAATGACAGGTTTCCACATTGCATATGTATGTATATTGTCTATACTCTAGAAATGTTGATTCAGAGGTTGAGCAGTGAAGGTTTTCAGACCCCTGTTCCCCCACACCTTTAAACCATGCTAAGAAAATGTTGTGTAACTGAGTATACATATCTAGAAGTCCATCCTCTCTCCAGTAACTTCTGAGTTTGTTTTCTGCAACCAGATTTTCTAGATGGATGACCACTGAATGCTACAAGTCTGTCCACTTAGTTTCATGTCCTTCTAAGCCTGTTATTGTTCTTTTTTAGAAGTAAAAAATGTACGATGTCTTTTTAATCTACACAGTCGAAAGCCATTGCTCTTACATGCAAACAGATTCAGTTGAAGCTTGTGTGTCTCACAGCTGTCAAAAGTCCTTGTGGGAGATAAAAACCAGTGGTACTCTGATGCTAGAGTTCTGCTGATGACATTTTTCACAGTTAAAGCTTTCATATTGTCTGTCTGAACGTAGGTACCTCTCCTTCCCATGATCAGCGCGAAGTCTCTGATACTCTGAGTTTCTCTACATATTCTACTGCTTAAGTATAATTCATAATAGAATCATTTGGATGCAAAGTCAGTTGGACTTGACATAATCCATTGGAAATCAAGCTATTGGTGCATACAGAAATACTTGTTAGTAGTATTTAAACATTTACTTTGCAATTTTTGAAAGCTGTTAGGAAATGTAATAATGTTACAGAACAGCTTAATGTAATTTATGGGTTTCCTCTGGCTTTGCAGATAGGACAATGACTTTTTTTTTTTTTCCCATCAGTAGAAGCTGATGTAAATTTTTCTTGTCTTGCACTGTCATCTAGCTTATTTTCTGTATGTAGGGTCCTCCTGTACCCTATTTAGGCTGGGATGTTTAAAAGTGATGTTTAAAAGAAATTAACATGCTTTTGGTTTGATCAGTGTGTGGTACAACTGACAAGTTAAACACTGAAAATGTAATAAATAATTTTTTCATTACTAGTGGGAATATGCAGCTCACTGAGGGTGAAAAACACTGGATAGGATGCTTATACAGACCTGCTTTTCTATGGGTATCTGATCAAAAGCTCTGGATCTTAGATTCCCAGTGCTCAGGTAACTTACAGTTTTCTCAACCCCTGGCATTTTCAGAGACCCTTGAAAAGGCCTCAGATTTTTAGCATTGATAAATCTGCTGTACTTTCTTTTAATTTTTTTATTTCACATCATATGGATCAGTCTAGGAAAATCAGACTGGAATTTAGCTGAAGAGTGATAGGTAGTCTTAGTGGAGTTCCTGAACACGATTTGACTACAGCCTCTGTTGAGAACATAGGTAACAATTCCTTTCCCCTCTTTAACTCAATTTTTAGTTCTCCTTTGCTAATGCAAGGAAAAATAAACACAAAAGCCCCCAACCAAACCAACCAACCAAACCATGCAATTGTTCCAATTTTAAAAGCACAAATGAAAGCTAGTGTAAAGGCATATTACAGCTTTCCAGATTTGTTTCTGGTTATTATCTGTGCATGATTATAAACTCTGTAAGAAAAAGCTAATCTGTATGAGAAGAGTTTAGTGGTTTAAAGATCAATACAAATCTTAAAATACTGTGCCAGTAGGATTTTGTAGCGGAACTTCCATGTGCTTACATCAAAAAATTCTTTCCCGAAGTGTGCGCACCCAGGTGGAAGTCTGTGATGTAATCAGAGAGATCCACGCACTGAACACGATAAAGTTTCTAATGTTCCATCTGGTGTTAGCCAC